AGGCAAACCAATAGAAGATCACCCCGAGTTACCAAAAGATACTACGAAAGAAACAATCTTGAAAAAGAACCGAGGGATGCCGATAGGAATAATGCTCAAGTCAAAGATCGTGAGGAAGACGCTCAAAGCAAAAGGCTACGATCTCAACCAGGTAGAGACGGGGGAAGCACAAATAGACGATGACTTAAAGAGGTTACTCGAGAACCTAGCAGATGATAAGCCCGTGATTCAAGAAAGCTGTAAGGAGGAACCTGAGGTCACAATACTGCGAAAGAGCGGGACAGCTAGTGATGGAAATACCTCGAAGGTGACTAAACTTGATGGGAAGGAAGTGGTGCAATCACTGGTTGAAAAGATCCCAGCCGAATTACTTGAACAGACCAGAGTTAGGAGAAAGAGAGTGGAGTTCAAGGAAGAAGCTGAATACCTGGGACTAGGTCAAGAGTCCGGGGAGCGGTCCACGTCCACGGAAGAAGAAAACACTGAAGGAGAAAATTTGTCCGGGGAGTGTGAAATGTGGGATGAGGACTCGGAAGCGAGCAGTGACAATCAATATAATCTCTGCATGATATTGGCAGAAGAAAAGATCAGACACCACGACAGGGAATTACAAACAGATCCGTCCTCAGGAACCTTCAACTTGGACGTGCAGGAAATACGAGGTGGTGAAGAACTTGAAAGGATTGCAGTTTCGAGGAAGCCATTCAGGGAACTATCATGCAGTTCAAATGTGAGAACAAATCTGGTGCCAGAAGATGACAAGAAGGTAGTAAGGAGGATAGTGTGCGTGAAGCTGAAGGACGACGTCCACAACCCTGGGGAGATGAATGGGCAGATTATGGCGCTGAAGGAACATGTCAAGGCGAGATATAGGCTGTCGGACCTGATAAGAGCCCAGAAGAATGACAAGATGACAAGCAATCTCTCCAAATGGATCCGAATGGGGTCCAAGGAGAAAGGGGAACTTGAAGAAGACAGCTACAAGATCCTGAGCCAGTTCTACAAAGAGAGGAAAGAGTTACTCTATCACACGGCTGACGGGGTGGTAGCATGCAAGAGAAAAGACGAGGACAAGATACTACACAAACACAACCTCATCATATTACCACAATTGTACCAGACAGAGGTGCTGTTCAGATCACATGACCAAATGGGGCACCAGGGGATAGACAAGGTGCAACAAAGGATACTTCACAGGTTTGATTGGCCAGGATTGAGGAAAGCCTGTGAGAGGTGGGTAATTGCATGCCTGGCATGCTTGCAAGTGAAAGACCCAAGGAAGTGAAATTCCCACTCAAGTCGGTGGAAAGCTCGGAATTTAATGAAGTGGTGCAAATAGACCATCAGAAGATCTGTATGACGGAGTCGGGGTATAACCAGATACTGGTTATAATTGATCACTTCACAAAGCTGGCAGAAGCGGTGCCGTGTCAAACAGCTTCGGCAGAGGAGACTTGTGACCACTTGATAACCCATTGGATATCAAGGTATGGTTGTCCAATGACTTTTCAGTCAGACAACGGCAAGGCCTTTGTGGGGGATTTGACTAAGGAGTTGATGAAGAGGTCACACATTGCTCAAGCACACTCAACGACTTACCATCCTCAGACCAACGGGCTGGTGGAGAGACAGAATAGAACGTTGGTGAACATGCTGAGGGTATACTGCTCTAGATACATGACGGACTGGGACAAGTATCTGCCGCAAGTCGTAGGGGCATACAACAGTACTCAACACTCAACGACGGGAATCAGTCCATTCATGATGTTGACAGGCAAAGAGAGAGCGATGCCCCTGACGTTCATTTACCCGGAGTATGAAGGGAGGAGGACGTCGCCTCAAGCTTACGTGAAAGAAGCAATCAGGAGACAGCAGGAAATAAACGAGCTATGCAGGAGGAACACAAATGAGACAGCGCAAGAAATATGATGAAAAGATATTACAGGCGAAGCCATATGAAGTGGGCCAGTATGTGTGGGTTTTCCAGAATGTGATACCGCCCAAAGGGACGAAGAAACTACTCAAGAAATGGAGAGGACCATTCATGATAACTGAAGTACATCAACAAGGACGGTTCTACCGCTTGAGTACTGGGCGAGCAGCACATTATGAGAACCTAAAGCCTCATGTCCCATCCCCAGAGGACTGGTGTATACCAAAGGACATGGAGGGACTAGAGTACCTACTGGTGGAACCAGCATGTGAAGTGAACGAAAAAGGCACCAGAGATAAGAATGATGGCAATGAGAACTTGAGTTTGGATGACAATGAAAAAATAGACGCGGACTCTGAAGCGGAATCTTTTTTGGAAGAAGATTGGAACGATCCGGAGCAAGATGAGGTGCCAGGGTGGACTGAACCAGACTTGTCAATACCAGCGGGGACAAGGAGTGGCAATCGCAAAAGCACAGGCATGAGGTACAACAGGTATGGGGACGACTTCCTGATCGACAAGATACAACCCGTTGACCTAAGCAAAGAACTAATAAGTGTGGGCGAGCTGGCGGCAGATGGTGAATGGCAGATCATCGATGATAATGAACACTACCCACAGGAAGACTACTCGACACCGGAACAGGAGACGGATTTAGAACAGAGCGAGATAGAGAGGAGGGAGAATACGAACCTGAGGATATTAGAATGGATGCGCGATGTCAAGAACGGAAGCGAGGAAGGACAGAGCATACAGCAAGTTGACATATCAGCGGGGAAGTACAGGAAATCGGAGGATCCTCTTTTCGGTTGGACGGCAACAGAAAGCCCGCTCGACATTCCGCCAGATAATTCAGACCCAGCATCATCGACGGGGACGTCGATAAATATTTTTGTCCGGGGAGTGGGGGTAGGACTTACCCACACCGAAAATTTAATGATAAAGAAACTCAGAGAAGTGAGAGAAACGTGCGGACTGGAACTGGAAGGGGAGGAGGCCGAGCCTACCATAGGACGGAATTTCAAAACGAAGTTTGAAATACCAAACGAATACTCAGAAAATATCCTGATAACGGATAGTGACTTCATTCTGTCAGACAGGACTAGCGCAATCTGTATCACGGCGGACATGAGTTTCAAATCAAGACTGGAAGCTGACTTCAAGAGAGAGTACCAGAACGGGACTGGGAGGAATGGCCGCGCTTCCACCATCAGTAGCACAAGTCCCGGGCAAATACCTGTGCTTCCTAGTGACGAGGGTCAATGACAGGAACACGATCGATCCTGAACACGTGATGTTGGCAGTAACGAGACTACGAGACTTCATGATTGAAAGAGGGATAATGGAGGTCTCAATGCCGGTGTATGACCCAAACAGAGGGAAGTTGAGCCCAAGGGAATTGTACGCTATCCTACACGTGCTATTCGCAGAAACTGAGATAATGGTGCATCTTCACAAGAAATACTACTTGAGCATCGCCTGAGTCGGGTACGCGGGGGTCTCGAGTTGGGCATGAGGGAAGAATCTCGAGTTAGGTGTGGGGGTACAAAACAGGTATAGAATCTTAGAGGTGATTGGCATGACAATTAATATTTTAAATGATTGATGGTGCTAAAACATAAAATGAATCTGCATGTTTTTAGAAGATTTCCAATTGAACTATTTTAGTAGGACGGAAAGGAAAGGGTTTTAATTATAGTAGTGAAGGGGGGTTTTTAGGTTAGGAATACAGCCTGTTAGTCTAAAAATCGGGTGTTATTTTCAGATTGATTTGGTGAAGTCAAATTGACTACCCAACTGTATTCAATTGAAGAAAGAGAACGCAAATTGAACCACATCTCAAGAAGTAAACTCAAGTTGCTAAGGTAAACTCAAGTTGCTCAGGTAAAACTCAAGTTGCTCAGGTAAAACTCAAGTTGCTCGGGTAAAACTCAAGTTGCTGATACTCAAGATCACTTGGAATTTACGGAAATCGCAGATCGATTCTGGAAGTCCATGCCATCGGCTTTGAAAAAACCCACACTTGACGAGTTGTACAGACGTCTGAGGGACCTGGATTATACTCAAGTGGATGAGAGAATGGCAGTGATGTTGAATGCCATCCTCCAGTTGGAGGAACAGGGCGAGTACCGGGAAACTGCGACAGAAGCAGTTTTGATGGGAGGCTACACCACTGATGGAATATCCAATCAAGAGCAAACCAGGTGGCTGTCCTGGAACGTGGATGGAGCAATAAGGGAGTTCGACTTGGCAAGGAACCCTGGCTTGAGTAACAATACTGAGTATGGAGCAGGGGAGTTCCCACTGCCGGTCAGACCATCAGTCAGATCCACGGGCCAGAGCACGAGCAAGACCCCATTGATGTCACGGGCGCAGCAAACGGGGGAAGCGTATCCGGACGTCAGTATCATGAAGAGAGAGCTTGAGAGGACTCAGCAGGAGAGGAACAAGGCGAACCTCGACCGGGATCAAGCGAAGCTCGAGGAGATCAGGCAAAACTTGAGAGGGATCAAGCGCGGAGGGAACTGGACATGTTGAGAGCTGAACAGCTACAGGCAGAAAGGGTGCGAGAGAATGCCCCGAATTGCGAGCAGCTGAAGTCGGAGCTTGAAAGGATCCAGCAACGACAACGCGAGCTCGACATGCAGAAAGGGGCTAGGCCCAAAGAGCGGGTGGTGACCGGCTCAAGACCAGAGTCACGATTGGAGGTGGATGAAGCTCCTAGGTCAAAGGGACGATTTAACCTCGATC